CTAAACCCTAAACCTCTAAACCCTCATCCCCCCCCCCCGAAGCGCGGGCCTCGGACGCGAGCTCTTGAGCCTCCGGGCCTGCCTCCATAAACCGACCAGCCTCTGGGCTGCTGCTTCGGTTTAGGGTTTAGGGTTTAGGGTTTAGGGTTTAGGGTTTAGGGTTTAGGGTTTGCTTGTGGGGTTGAACGGTTTAGGGCTTCGGGTATATAGGGTCTAAGGCTTATTGGTTTTAGGGTTTAGGGGTTTAAGGCTTAAGGTTTTTAGGGTTTAGGGGTTTATTAAAGTTGGATTACATCGCATTACATATGTCATGTACATATGTGAAGACTTCAAGCAAGCTGACAACCGTCCGAATAGTACCGTTTAGGGGTTTAGGGAGGTTTAGCGGTCTAGGGGGTTTGGGGTTTATGGGTTTAGGGGCTTTGGACTTAGGGTTTAGGGTCAGCTTAGGTTCAGGGCTCCATGGGGGCTTTGAATGTAGGGTGCTTTGTAGAGGCACGAGGATTCATGGTTTTTGGGGTTTTCTAAGGGCTTCGGGGCTACAGGACGTAGGAGTGTTTGTTGGGGGGCTCTGGGAGTAGTAGCGGGTCTCTACTGCTGCTGCTACTACACCCTAAACCCCAAGCCCTAAACCTTAAACCCTCAACCCTAAACCCTAAACCGTAAACCCCAACCCCTCAACCCTTAACCCTCAATCCTAAACCCTAAGCTCTAAACCCTCAACCCTAAACCCTCAACCCTAAACCCTAAACCCTCAACCCTAAACCCAACACCCTCAACCCCAAACCCTAATTCCTCAACCCTAAACCCTAAACCCTAAACCCTAAACCCTCAACCCTAAACCCCAAAACCCTAAACCCTAAACCCTAAACTCCAAACCCGAAGACTGACCGAGGTTTTCCGTCACGGGGGTATAGTCTTCGGGATCCCGGCTTGAGGGAAGCTGCAGTCATGATGATTCCCAGAGGTTCCCAGACCTTCCAAACTTAGGGTTTAGGGTTTAGGGTTTAGGGTTTAGGGTTTAGGGTTTAGGGTTTAGGGTTTAGGGTTTAAGGTTTAGGCTTTAGGGTTTCGGGCTTAGGGTTCTTAATCAAGAAATATACCTCAGCTATATCCCCAAAATGAGTTAAGGCACCTTCCTTAACTAAGGGCTATTGGAAGGTTTGGGCTTAGCGGCTTGAGGTTTGGGATTTAGGCTTGATGCCTTGAGGCCGACAATCACCCATACACCCCCCTTCCCGGTCTTACACGCTGCCAGATGAAGATACACTTCAAAATGATCAGTAGACCTGCTTCTCACATACCATACATACTACAACATGACGTGGTACATCATGATACTGTTCTACACACGAAGGATCCTATATCGGGTACGGTGAGGGGCTGCTGTGAGAGTCTGATTTGGGGAACGTGTCGTGTTGTGTTTGCAGTCGCTATCCACACTAGACCCTAAATCCAAACCCCTCAACCCT